TCACAATACATAAAAAACACTGTTTCTATTTTTGATAATCATAAAATAAATTACGGGATTACTGAGAAGGTGGGCCAAAACTGTAGCATTGATGCAGCTGGGGCTATGTTGAAGCATTCCCTTCTACTCGCCTGCCTGCGGCCTAAATGGTGATTTCCTACTGGTTCCGGCATAGGTGAGTATAATCCTGGCTGGGGGCAGGGGAATTGCCATTGCACTCCATTGGGTGAGTTGCCAAGGATGAGTGCTATTGCTATCTGGGTGTGACTAAAGATCATGGAACCCCATAGCAAAATTTTGATGTGGCCCCCAGGGACCTCTTTGTGGCACCTGGTAGTGCCAACTGTGAGAACACTGTCACTGCACTTTAAAAGTATGCTTAACTCAAGGTTAGGCAGAAGGAGAGCAGTCAGCATTGACTGTACAATACAAGGGACCTAATGCTGGGGATAATTTGTCAAGGAAGAGCAGCAACGCAGGCTATTAACTTTAATTTTCCATGTAACTACACTATCCCCAGTAGCTTGCCAGTCTATTTCAGCATATCAGATTATAATGGACATTCTATGCCCTTCCACTGCCACAGCCAGCAAATGCTAGACGATATAGTAATACATAAGTAGTAGTAATGATAATAACCAGCAGATTATTTTATACAATTGCATAATTGTTAGTGTTACTACACACAATTCCAATATCGCCAATCTGGGATACTAAGGCTGTTGTGATGCCACTGTTTGATACTAATGGCAGACAGAGGAATACCTGCCCATTATTCTAAAGAGGTATCTACCCATTTATAGTTGGCTTTGGATAGAAGTCTGCCTAACTGGCAAAATGTTATAAGTGCCAATACTTCTTTCAATTTTTATTTCATCCAGAATATTGAAAATATTGGATTTATTTGGTGATCAATATAATTGTAAGGACACCATTAACAGCATGAGCTTTGAAGTACTTTAAGTGTTTAAAAAATGGCAGGACCCCCTACTAGGGAGGCTTGTGTACAGAATAGGTTGGATGTACAAGAATAAGAACCAGATGTTGTCTGAGTACCACTTGTTTGATTTACTTAAGATGGATAATGAAATGCCTGTAGGGAGTGAAGTAAAGCCCATTTGAGATTCAACAGAATACATCAGTCTCATCATCCAAAGATCAACATCATAAAACACACAACTGCTAAGCTTCAGTTATCAAGAAGAAGACAAATGCAAGGTTTTATTTGCCAGTATATTTATAAAAAAAGATTTTACATTCGGTTTTATGCTTACAATATTTTACAATTTTATGTCCTTTATATATCAATTGTACAATCCATATCCTATTAGGATACCTACAAGTATAAGACAAACTTTGTCCAACCTGATAAGTTACAGTAGGACTGGTAAAAAGTCTTATAGGTTTATATTTAGGGATGCACCAATACCAAGTACAGTACTCAGTACAAGTACCGATACTTTTTAAACCCCTCAGACTATACTAGAGGAAAATCCAAAAGTTAGGAGGCCGCTGTCATTTGTAAGGAGCACACGGAGCTCCTGGGATTTGTACATCTCTGTTTTCATGTATGATTTTGTTTGTTTTTATAAACATATATATAAAGGGATGCACTGATACCAGTTTTGCGAGTACAAGCACTGATACTTGTCCAAGTCCTCACAGATACAATTACTGATACATTTTTGTTGTCATGTGACGGTTTTTCTAAAACAATACAGACTAAGGATTTCAGGACAGTGGTGGAGCACCAGAGCCAGGCCCCAGCTGCAACGTCTGCAACCCCGGTAGTTCTCGTGAAAATGCCAAGTATCTGCACTGGTACTCGAAAAGTATCTGTGCATCCCTAGTTTATACTGTCTCTTATTTTTCCAGACATGCCATGGTTAACCCATTATGGGGATCAATGGTCTGCCTGGTTGGAATTAACCAGTTGATTGCTAAAGTTTTTCACCTGGGGTGTCTAGCTGTGCTCTTCCTCTTCCACTGTCATCCCATACCAAGAAACCTGGGCTGGCTGATCTTGGGGGTGGTGGGTTTGAAAACATCTAAACCCAAGAACCAAAATGTTATATAATGCAGCTTTACAGTCCTCTATGTGGTGGCTGCATTAGTTTTTCTTTTTTTCAGCATTTTTTTTAACCTGGTGATCTTGCCAGCACCACACTTCCTTTCCAACGCTCAGTCACTCAATCAGGAGATGTAATAAGACTACGGAACACCATTCCCTCTCCTCGGCTCTATAAAATGGAGGAGGGGTAGTAGTCCTAACAGACTTCCTAATAACATTGCGATAACTATGCATTGTGCATTAGATTTCTATCAAAATCAACAGGTGTTTTAGTTGAATTCAAAAGATTTACCAAAGCGCTTTCAATGATATATTTAATAGACCTAAAGGGAGCAAGTAAGAGAAGCTCGGTTTTAGGGTTTACATAGATTTTAATTTTCTAGGATGAATTTTCCCAGATATTCGCTGTTTCCCCCCAATTAAAGGTTGGTTCCAGGGGTGTGCACAGATAATTAAAATGTAAAGGCAAAATGTTTTTAAACTCCTTTTAAGTTTTTTAAAGTTCTGGGCAGAGTAGGAAAGTGTTAGACTCTCTGGCCAATATTTTATTGTAGTCTGTGTCTACATTGGAGAGCTGCACCACCTCCATTGGTCCTGGTGACCATTGTCACCAAGACAGACATTAAAGTGGAACTTTACTTACATTTTATTTATTTTTTTACTCCCTGGCCCTCTTGGTCATTAGTGATGTGATTGTGCCCAAGCATTGCATCCTGGGAAGGTTCCATCAGAAGAGCATTGCTGGGAAATCTCAGCTGTAATCTCATGAGATTTCTGGGAAAGGCATTTTCCTCCCCGAGAATGATGTGCATGGTCACATGTCCTAGTCACATGAGTTCGAGGAACTAAAGTGTGATGGATTAATCTGCCCTTAGTTAAAATGGCCACTGTGCCATATTTGTAATTGTCAGAATCGTATGTTGGTGAAACAAAACAGCAGCTACACCAGCGTATGGCACAGCATAGAAGAGCCAAACCCTCTGGTCAGGATTCGGCTGTGTACCTACACATAAAGGAAATAGGTCACTCCTTTGAAGACAGACAAGTACGCATCCTAGACAGGGAGGAGGACTGGTGTAAAAGAGGCCATTTATGTAAAAATGGAGAAGCCAAGCTTAAATAGAGGTGGGGGGGAGGGGTGATACATCTATTGTCTGCCACATAGAATGCTGTTTTAACACCTCTCTCTGGGCAGGTTAATAACACCCCCTAGACTCCAATTATGCAAATACAATCAACACCTAGTTGTGACTAATCGATTATGTGGATTGGAGCAACATTCACCATATTTATTCCCAGATAATTGTTTGTACAAGTCATTCTGAATGGAGAAAGCTAGTCGGACGTCCAGTGAAACGTCTTCAAGAAAAATACAGCAAGTCCAGTTGCCATGACTTATTTTTTACAGATATACTATGACCTGGATGAATGAGAACCTTCACAGACATACATGACATGATCACATGACCAAAATCACATCCCCAATCAGGGCCTGCTTGGTACATGTACCCTGGATTACAAACATAGAAAACAATGTCATTTGTACCAAGTAGCACTGCTGGACCTATAAGGCAACTTTGTAGATTTTAGCTACCACCATTTTCCTAATTTCCAGGCACCAAATCAGTGGAACTAAAGCCTCCTTTTCTTTGCCGCAATGAATTACTTTGTTCACCTCAAACTTTTCCATGCTGTGAATCCCCTTGCCCGCCATGAACTGTGCCATCTTAGCATATATTTAGATTCACAGTTACCATGGTGGTGCACATATGATCAGCTAGGACACCAGCATTTTGAGGGCCTCAAAGATCAGTTAAGAGCTGACTTATGCACAATGGCAGCTGGGGCAGCTATCACTTGGGACATGCTTTGCATATAGAATACATTGCTCATGTATTAGTATTTGGAATGTAAATAAAAACACTGCAGAAATGGACAGTGATACAGTATTTTGATTAGGGACTTGATAACATTTATTGAATAGTTCTAATATGAACTTTCCTATGAAAAACTGTAAAATGGTGGGTTTAGTTCCACTTTAAATTTTACAGTCTTCTGTCCAGTTATGCCACTGGTTCTTCCTCTACTCCTCCAGTGGCCAAGGTGGATGGTCCTTACTCCTAGACAACAAAGTGGCCAGTAGTAGTGTGTGTGTGCGCGCCTTATTGTTTAAGATAAGTGAGCACACGCCAGACCCCAGAGGGCATCTTCATGACAGCCTGAGCCCATGCCAGACCCCAGGGGGCATCTTTGTAACAGTCTGAGCCCATGCCAGACCCCAGGGGGCATCTTCATGACAGCCTGGGCTCCCAGAAAGTGGGTTGGATAACACTGGGTATCATTTAATCCCAGAAGAGGACTGGCACTGGCATGCAGAACTGTGGAAGAAAGTTCTGGAGAGGAGAGTGTTGCAGTGAGAGCTTCTTTTTTTCACACATGCTGGGCCACTGATTTTTCAATCTGAAGTCCAAGGTGGAGTTCTTTAGGCCTGTCAACATTTTTGATTTCAACATTGATAGAAATTTGGTTGTGTTTAAGATCCAAAGGTGGATGAAAATTTTGATGAGTGCCTAAACATACCTTGTGTATGTCCAGCATAAGAAGCAAATACTATCCCATCCAATACGTCTGAAGATTCTCATATATCAGGGTCACGTTACAGCTAGTAGAAGTTAATCACGTTTAGCTGGATTTGTTCTGTAATGTTGATGATGCTTCGCAGCTTAACCAAACAGCTTCTTCAGTTCTGATGCCCAGATTCAGATGTTGGACAGAGCTGGGGAAGCTGTTTGGATAGGTTGCGAAACATTTTCAACATTAGAGCTAATAATAGCTGATTTGTACCCCACGTTTTAGTTCATGTATGCTCTTTATTAATGATTCAATTGCTACTTCGCAAACTAATCGAAAACACATTTCCATCCCTCAGAACTCGGAAGATGAATCAAAATGGGTGGAAGAACTTTTAAAGATGCACACCGCTCGTGTTAAAGACATTGAACAGCTGACCGGACTGGACTTCTATCGAAAGACCAATCGCGGCTACACAGAGATCCTTTCCCTGAAGACGTACATGCATACGTTTGAGAGCGAGATTTGAAGAAACCAACGGCGTAACTCAAGTGGTGTATATTTTTTATATTTTTTTTGTATTTATTAATTTTTAAACCAGGACACTTAAATATATTTAGTACTTTAATCCTAAATGTCACGCACACGTCAGATGTCCAGTAATGTTTTAGATGTCTGTGTTGGGAAATCTCGTTCTTGCTGCAGCTAGGCTGGTAGACTAAGCTTGTTTAATAGTGCTGCAGAATTACTTCTTGCACTGGGAACTTTATTTTTCTAGTGCAACACTGATGTCTTTGTAGACTTTTTACTATGTAATGCAATATGTAAAATGACTTATATTAACTGGAAATTGTGACCAAACATATTTATGTTGTATGGATTAATGGAACCTCATATAATAAACCACACATGTTTCATTTTTAATGCTGTCTTGGCTCTTGCAACAGCTGTGTAATCGCATTTAAGGACATGTTCAGGTTTTTACAAAGACCTTGCAATCCCCCCTCCCAAGCCCTCTAAATATACACAGCTGAATCATCATTGCGAGAGGGCAAGTGCTGACTTTTCTTCTCCAGCAGCGGTGGTGGCGGCCTCCTTTGTTGTCTGCAACCCAGCCAGTAAAAATCTAGCACCGGGCTACCCGTGCCTATACTAGACTTGAATGGGTTGTTGTTCCTACAGTAGGGGTGTGTTCTTTTTAAGTCAAAGTGACCTTATTGCATTGTCGTGAGCAATCTGGAACAAGATTTATACCGGCCATGCTGCAGTGGGAGGACACTGCTGTCGGAGGCAAGTAAGCACTTCCGGGCTGTGGGGGATCAGCTGTGTATGACTAAAGATGGGGACTGGGGTTTTTTGTAAAAAACCTGAACTTGCTCTTTAAGGTCTCCACTGAACTTGAAGGATGCCCGTAATCATAGCAGTACATATTTAAAAAGGTTTTTAACTTCGTTGTGTGAATTGTTAAAGAAATAATCCAGGCAGAAGAAAACATAACCCTTGCAGTGGAGCTACCCCGCACTGCAAGAGTTAAGTGCTTGGTTTTGTCTTGGGTGTAAAATTAAAAAAATATATACTTGCCAGATCCTTAGACCCACCTGGCTGCTAGACTGGTCCTAGCCACTGTCTTCTCCTCCGCTCCGGTAATGTAATGTCCCTTGGTGTCCTCGCATCAAATGCACTGTAATAGACATGATGACTCACAGGACCTTAGGTCACCAGAGTGGAAGGGGAGCGAGTCTGCAGGGACTGGTCCAACAGCTAGGCTGGTCTAAGGTTCGAGTGAGTATATCTTTTTTTATTTTACGCCATAGATAAAAACAAGCACTTAACTCTTGCGGTGCAGGGTTGCCCCCACTGCAAGGGTTTTGTTTCTTTCTGCCTAGAGTTCTTCCTTAAAGTATATTTAAACCTATTCAGTAAAATCTCATTAGAGCTTTATCATGCAATTTCAAATCTGCAGCTTTTATTGAATTAACACACGGTGACACTGCCATGAATATCCTTGTGCCAGAACATTCTGTAAGGGCCAGTTCACACCAGATGCAGTTGTGATGCAGTCCATGCATTTTGGCAGCTGCATCAAAATTGTGTCACATTGCTTTCCAATGGGAGTTCACACCAATGCAGTCAGTTCCGATGCAGTAGAAAAAAAATCCTGCTTGCCACATTTTAGCTGCACCTGATCACAACGGAATGCATAAAAAATGCATGCAAATGCACTGGAACGCACTGGACTGCACCTAAAAGCCCATTTTAAGCAGGGGGGGGGGGGGGGGGGGGGGGGGG